CCTGAAAAAGTGCACCAATCCACTCTGGAGAAACCAAAACTTCTATGTCAAACTCCCGTTCAAGAAAAATGAAGACATCAACCCCACAAAAGCCTCACACAGAGGGTTAAATCCTGATTTATTAGAACAAGCTAAGCAAGAAATTCATGATCTGATAAAAGAACCATTAATTGAACAAACCAGTTCTCCTTGGGCATGTGAAGCCTTTTATGTAAATAAAAGAGCTGAGCAAGTTCGTGGAAAACTCAGATTGGTTATCAACTACCAACTTTTAAATACCTTTCTTGCAGATGATAAATTCCCTCTACCCAACCAGATTGCACAATTCTCACAGATTTCTCATGCTCACATATTTTAAAATTTTGATTTAAAATCTGGATTTTGGCAAATTGGTATACATCTTGATGATAGACCAAACAAAGCTTGTTGCCTCCCAAATTACCATTTTCAATGGACAGTTATGCCCTTTAGTTTGAAAAATGCACCCACTTATTTTCAAAAGGTTTTGACCATCATTTTCGAACCAATCTCAACACAGGCTTTGATATATGACATCCTTCTGTTCTCCCCTGACCTAGAAAGTCATGTCCTCCTCCTAGACAAATTCCACTCCCTTTGTTGTAAATACGGTATTATGCTTTTTAAGAAAAAATGTGTATTTGCCACATCTGAAATAGATTTTCTTGGTATGCACTTTCATGATGGTATGTACAAACTACAACCCAATATAGCCAAACATTTATTAGATTTCCCTTACACTCTTTCTTCTGTAAAACAAATACAGCAGTTCTTAGGTATTGTAAATTACATGTCCCCTTTTATCCCTAAACTTTCTTTGTTTACCAGTCCACTCTATCTTTTGTTAAAGAAAAAAGCACCACCTTGGACTAAGAAACAGACTGAGTGTGTTCAGGAGCTCAAACGATTATCCAGAAATCTCCCTTCTTTAAAAATTCCTTCTTTAGGAAAAAGAGTTTTGCAAACTGACGCATCTGATGAATTTTGGGCTTGCATTTTGCTTGAAAAAGTTCAAAAAGAGAAAAATTTGTGGAGATAAAAGTGGAAGATTTAAAGATTCTGAACTCCATTATCATTCTACTTTCAAAGAAATTATTGCTGTCAAAAGAGGAATAGAGAAGTTTCAATTTCACCTCATTGGACACGACTTTCTTGTAGAAATGGATTTGTCTGCCTTCCCTAATATGCTGAAATTCAAAAACAAAATACTTCCGAACCCCCAGCTCTTAAGATGGTCAAACTGGTTTTCCTAATGGAATTTCGAATACAAGCACATTTCTGGGAAAAATAATGTTTTAGCAAACATGTTCTCAAGAAAAAGATTTTCTGAAGAAACTCTTTCTCCCAGTTATTCCCTTTTTGGGTGCAATCATCAGCCTTGATGATAATGACCAAGACCTCCCGGATGAACATTATGATGCTATCCTCAGGAATACTATGGACTCTAGAAATGATGATATGCAGCAAAAAATGCATGAAATAGTACTCAAGAAACATGGAGATTGTTTTCAAGGAATTCGATGCCATCCAACTTACCCATTTCTGTCCCTTTTTCAGAGCAGGCACTACTACAACATGCCAAAAGATACTATTTGCATTTTCTGGTATCTTACCCAAAACCACCATATATGTTTCAACTTCCATGTAAGAAAACTCCCATCTTACCTCCGACATTGCCACTTTCTACAATGGAATAATTACCAACACCCTAATCCCAGAGCCTTAAATTTTTATAAATTCTTAATTAAACACTACCATTATAACCAATGGTTTGAATCTTTTGGTTACCCCCATAAGCCTTACATTATTATAAGCTTCCATCAAGACCTTACCCCTCAGATTTATTATGAACATACCTACATTACCCGACATCCTCTCATAGAAACCATTGGATGGTATGATTCTAATCTTCTGAGTTTTTGGCTATTTCAGACTGATTGATGGAAAGAATTAAAAATCATCATGTGTTATATTAACTGAATCCAGCCATAATGGATTCCTGTGGATGTTTATACAGGGAATACAGTATGGAACGATGAAACACCTAGAGGAGTAGCTTTACTACATCAGCTTCATTTATGGCTAGCAGATCACCCTCCTCCTTAAGACAGCTCGAGTGATGACACATATACTGGACCATCTCATAGCCCTACCTCATCATCTAATTATGAGTCGGATGGATACCCTTTTGATCTTTATCCTGACACTGATTGATGCTGCAGCCGCATGATGAGTGAAGCCGTACAAAGATTGAAGTCGTACAAGACCGAAGCCGCACACGCACTGTAGCAACAACACTGTAGCCGCACTGTTTTTGTCGGCAGCACTATAGCAACACTGTTTTGTAGGCAGCACTGTAGCAACACTATTTTGTCGACAGCACTGTAGCAGCACTGTGTTGTCGACAGACAGCACTGTGGCACCGACACCTGTCACTGTAGACATCACTGTGGCACCGATACCTGTCACTGTAGATAAACTTTTCACTGTACAAAGGACACCTGTTCTGACCACCTGTTCACTGTACAAAGGCCACTTGTCCTGACCACCTGTCCAGTTTTAATTTTTTTTGAAATCCGGATTTCATATCCGCGGTCCATAAATAGCCCTTCGAGGCCTTGTAATGGGCAGAGTGCTTCTAGAGCCTCTCATCCTGCTTAGTCTCTTGTGTGCTTTAGTCCGGTATGCTTTAGTTGTGCTTTCCTTCTTTCCTCTTCTGCTAGTCTTTTATGCCTGGAAGATCTTTTCTCCTCTCTATAAGATCTCTCCTTCTTATCTTATATCTTATGTATCTTGTTTATAAAGTTATTAGACTTTGGTGTGCATGCTCATTCCTGTTTTCTCTGTATCTTTAATCTGATTTCTCTGTATCTTTAATCTAATATTTTTCTGATATTCTTCTCGTCTCTCTTTTGTAACATTTGTTTTTGTTCTTTTGTTTGGTTTTGTTCATGCACATCTATAATTGGTATCAGAGCCTGGATTATGCTGTTGAGATTAATTTCTTATTTACACTCTTGACTGGGTTAATCTCTAATCTGTACTTTGATTAGTATGCTCTGCGTCTGCGTAGCTAGACTACGATCTCTCGCATCAGAAAACAAAGTACGTATTATAGGTTAATTTAAGTGATGCCATTCCACTGTCAACACTTTCTGAGGTTTACTTGACAGGAGCTCTGAAGTCGGCGAGAAGGCCTGGAAAAGAGTTCATATTTTGTAAACCATAAAAGGAAAGTTGGCCTTAACCTATCTTTTACAAATACAGTCAACTCTATAAATTTTTTTCAAAGATGGCAGATGAAAGTGTCTCAGATACTTCTTCCCTAGACTTGTCTTCATCCTCTAATCTAGAATTAGGACCCATATTTTCAAAACAAGAACACTTTTTTGAAATAACCTACACTCTTGAAAAGTTTTCAGAAACTCGGTCTCAATTAATTAATCCTTATCATGTTTATGATAAATCTAGGTTAAACTGGACTAAAAGAATCAAAAAACTTTGTGGGAAACACAATCCAGAAGCCATTAAAGAGTATGTTCAAGCCACTTCTTTTGACCAACACCACATTCCAGCCACCCAAGCTGAACAGTATGTTGCCATTACCTTACCCAGAAACCTTTTCCCTCAATGGCTTAAAGAAGGATATACCCATATCCATTTTGGAGCCATTAAACTAGCCCTAACCTTTCATGGTAGGAAAGGAATGGAAGCAGTAACCAGGATTGCTTTGTTAGACACCAGGTTTCTAGAATATCAGCATGCTTACCAATTACAGATGTGCATCAACAAAATCAAACAAAAGAACAAAAACAAATGTTACAAAAGAGAGACGAGAAGAATATCAAAAAAATATCAGCTTAAAGATACAGAGAAATCGGAATAAAGATATCGAATGCCATACATGGACCCAGGCCAAATCAAACTCAACTTCGACGGTTGCTCCCTTGGTAACCTAGGCCCGGCAGATATCGGGGGCATCTTCAAGAACCACAAAGGCACCTCCCTCTTCTCCTTTGCCCTTCCTATTGGCCGTGCGGATTCCACCACAGCGAAAGCCCTCGCTCTTTTGTAGCCCTCAAAAACTTCAATTCTACAAGGGGTCTAGTTCTAGTAGTGGAAGGTGACTCTCAAAATGTCATCTCTTGGGCCTTAGGAGAGGTGCAACCCTCACCCCCCCACCTTTGGAGACTCACAGCAGTTTTTGACGAGATTTTTAACATTCGCAAGCATACTCCAGTCTTATGGATGCATAATTGCATACCAGGCGCGAGGCCCACCATGCAACTGATGTCGTGGCTAAGGAGGGTGCTCTTTAGGCGACTCTTTAGCACATACATCTTTGTGCTCCTTGGGATCTGTGTTTTTTGTAATGACATGCCTGTATAGCATTTTTTGATACTGCCACTAACTGGGTGGTTTTTGTATAGAGCTCCCAGTTGTGAGTAGCCCATTTTTTGTAACATGTATATTCTTTACACTCAATACTAAATTAACAGTTCCCCAAAAAAAAAAGCTTTAAGGGCATGCTGACTGCGTTCAAGGAGGCTTGCTTTCCATACTACCATTCTTTTTTTTTGAGAAATTTGATTTGTATTAAGGGGAAGAAAAACAGGCTTTCCATACTACCATTCAATCTAACAAAAATATATCCTGCTCCGCAAAAACAGTTAGTAGTTCTAAGAGGAAGTGGCAAGTATATCAGACTCCAAGAAACAAAAAAACAAAAAGAACAATTTGCCTTTCTTATATAACAAAATCAAGAGTATTTCACTTATGTAGGAGATAAATGAACACCACATGAAAGGCAATGTAAAAGTGAAACTCATAACCCCTAGAACAAGTTCAAAACTTATATCAGAAAATGCATTGAGGTCTGACAATCAAAGCATGGCATGTCTATGCACTTTGATACAAACACGTGCAAGCATGCACACACACATAAAGATAGAGAGTGAGTGCGAGAGAGAGAGAGATTTTACCTGGGGCTTTTTAGTAAAGAAGGCAGGGTAGTGGCCACAGAACAATAGCAAGGGAAGAGTCTTCGACCACAGTCAAAACCAGTCATGTGAAGATGATCAACAATGCAATCTCTTGAAATAGCCATATTTGCATTTGGAAACAATATGCTTTTTCTACAGTTAGGTAAAGGCAGCAATTTTGTTGCCATTACCATACACAACTGTAAACACATAAAAGGGTAGAATCAAGCTCAAATAAGGAAAAAGACAAAAAAAAAATCAGCAACATAGTAGAGGATATATGAAGTCTCCAGGAAAATTCCTTTGAATTATTTAAGGAACCTAATCGAATACAACAAGTCGCCAATTATATTTCACGTTTAGAGAAGTGAATAAAGAAGTTATAAAGACTAAATGTATAGAAGATGTAGACTCTCCACACAATTAGGGCTGCTGGAAATGAATAAAATACAAGCATGCTTGGTCTTCATCAAATGCCCAAACATAACAAAGTGAAGTGTAGTTGCACAAAAGTTTAAAGGCACCTTACAGAATCTGTTTTATTTTCAATATTGAAGATTTTGGAAAAGGAAGTAGAACATATGTGCTAGGGCACAAAAGCCATGATTGAAGAACTAAGATTCAAAATTAGAAGTAGAAATTTAGTCTAATTGGGGCTTTGGATTTTCCGCTTGTGCCTACAAGGGAAAGGTTCAACGAAGAGCACAACGAACTAGCTTGTGGGGATGCCCAGCATATTCATGAAGAGCACAACGAACTAGCTTGTGGGGATGCCCAGCATATTCATGAAGAGCATGATGAACTGGCATATAGAGCTTAGAGTTAATGTGTTAAGGTGATCGGATGCTTTTATATTCAGAGCTAGACTATTTATAGGTCCTACCTAGAGCGGCAGATGTTGAAAAGGTAAATTATAGGTTGAAAAAGAGAGGTACTGCTCTAAATTTTTTGATGATTGGAGATACGAAATTGTCCCTCTCATAAGAGCTTATACGAGAGTGACAACAAGAAAATATCACATAGTCAAATGATGCCAGAGGACAGATGATGAGTTTGACAGTGAAAAACACTGCACATTTTTATGACAATGAGAATTTTGACACATCACTAGGTTTCCTTTGAATAGATTATGGAGCTTCGAGGATACGTGAACTGCCAATGAGGTCTAATGTGGTTAATTCCTGTATTTGGCAAAAATGCTTGGTTATGACTGTCTTAATTAACCATTCAACATTCTGAAGTGGCACCTAATGAATGGGAGCCAGGTCAAGGGAATTCAACTAAACGATTGGCACATCAATTCTCGAGGCCACACTTAAGAGCTTTACTACATGGGTCTTAGAGGTGAGTGCATTTGGTGTTTTTAAGGATATTAAAGAGCTCATTGAAGCACTTCCTAAACAGATTAGGTTTTCGAGAGGTATGTTCTAGGATGATACAAGGTTAAGTACCAAACGAAACAAGCTTCCAATCTCAGTCTCAGATAGCACACAAACAAGCACAATAGCAGAATTTGAACAATTTAATCTCCAATCTATACTGGGATTCGATAAATCAGGCTTTTACACGAATCAAACAATCCTAAGGGCAACCAGCTTTGAGTGTATGTCCAAATATGCTGCACGAAATTCAAATTTATACACAAAAGAAAGCCTCTTCCATGAAAAAATTGTATGTTTTGAGTTCAAATGGCTTCTTGGTCAAGAGCAATAAAGCATTTTATGTTACAGTCTACAGAATGAGTCAATTTGCAAGACGCTTTCTCTCTCACTCTCACACGCACACGCACTCAAGGAAAAAGAAAACAACAAAATGAAGAAGGAAAATAACAGATAGAGAGACAGGACTTCATCTCTGCTATACCCAATCAATAACCCTAAAAACCAAGCCCCAAAGAACCCGAAGGAACTGAAAATCAAAATAACTATAAGATATGATGACTGAGGAACCACACCAACCCTAGATAGCGGATGCCATAAAGAAAGAATATCAACCGCCAACTATTTATCTCTTTTTAAGTCAAAAACATCTCAGGGAAAATCAAATCAACACTAGAATGAAACGAGCAATAAATTAATCAAAGCATTCCATTTGCTTGCGCCAATGAAAGAAAAATTAACCTAATAATTTGAGAACGCACCAATTCACAAACAATGTTATCAATGCCAGAAAATCGATGGCTTATATAACCAGGAATAACGGAAAGCTAACAGAAAATGAAACACAAAATGGCAGATAAATAATTGAATGGGAAATGGTGGGATTGAGTGGAGAATACGCACCCTCTAATTTCAGGTTAATTTTCCCATTGCATGAGAAGTGAACCAGTAAAACGAAGAAAATCAATACGATTTCAATACCGACTTATGCGTAAAACCCAACGCTCACAGGGCATATATTATTCTTAATTTGGCAAAAGATTCTATGCTCCCGCGGGAGCGTTTCTTCCTTCGACTCCCTTAGGTAAAACTCCACGAGTATTTTGAGGCGTCCAAATTTCCAATTTACGGATAGCAAACAATGATGGCAACACTTTATCAAGGTGCATGGACATCAAAAAAATGTGGTGGTCAAGTTTTAAAAATAGTGTATCTTGTGATGATGTAATTTTTTACCATTAATTTTCAAATTTTTAAGTTTTTTTTATTTCTGCTTGATTTACATTATTTTTTAATATTTAAAATTTTTAATTAAATATAAAAATATCTTTTAAGACTATTTCAAAGATTTTCAATATTGAATCACATTTCTCAATACTATTTGAAGGTGTGCTTTACTTTTGATTGTTTAGAGCCTCAGAATTATACAAAGTACACCCAACAATAAAAGATGGAAAAAGTTTGTATAAGGTGAATGGGTATATCAATAATCCAAGGTTGTTTTAGTGCTGAAAAGCCCTCTAATTTTGATCATCTCAAGCTCGATATGTATGCATATGAAAGAAATCTATCCTATGTCAGGAAAATATTGCATCTTCTACTATATTATCTCGACTTTTCATTTTGAAAAATAAAATTTTATACATTTATTCAGTCTGCACTATTTTTTAAGATTTAAATTTCATAATTATGGATAACTATAGATATTAATACCATTGCAAGGCTTTCCGCAGCTACATCTATAGGCATGGTTTAGAGGTGCACCTTACTTGATTTGTTAAGGTTGATGCCATGCATAAACCTTAACCATAAAATATTACCTCCTGATTGTTAAAAGATTAACGCTAATTCTTAGATGGATTCCTAAATTTCAAATTGAAGAAAATCCTCCCAAGTAACTTTCGCTGGGGTAGTAAGTGTAACATATGCTCCCACGGGAGCATGTAATACATGTGAAAAAATAAGTGTCAAATTTTTTACAAACTCAAAATCAAAATTCCAAATAGTTTTTAAACTAACATCAAATAATTGTTAGATAAATTCCCAAATTTTCATAACAAATAACTCTTATTAATTAGCTCTTTCATCCAAAGTCGTAGCTATATAATATGCTCCTATAGAAACACCTTCACGCACCACCTGCCGAAAGATTGTATGCTCCCCACTGAAGCAAGTTCTATAGGATGAGGTTCGTACAGGGCCCCTCTTTGTATTGTAGAAGTAAGTACATCTAAAATTTGCTCAGTGATATGTCCGAAACCTTCTGATGATTTAAAATTTTATTTTTATCTCGAATCTAGAATTTCAAAAATGTCACAAATTGGGCAGAAGAATAAATATTTGAAAATCTTAAAAAATAAAAAATAAAAAAAAAGTTACAAATAACTTCTTATAATGTGCTCCATTTTTAGGACGTAGAGAATTTTTTGTCTTTCATATCCACATATCTCGAGATGTTCTCCAATATCGGGATACCTTCTTTTAGAGGATTTTTGAGGTGTATTTACAACCTTATATAAACTTTTCATAGGGTGGCAACACGCCCACCAGGGCCATGCCAAGGATAGCCTAAGCTTTGACCTGAACCGGGCCAATAGGGATGTGACTTAGGCCTGATACTAACTAGGGCAAGAGAGGCTCGGCTAGGTCCAGTCCTACTCTTTTCTTAGGTTGCGCAGCCCAACCTTTTTGAGGGGGGATCAAGTTGGGCCAAGGTAGTTTGGATTGTAACTTGGAAAAAAATTAGAAGCAACATATTAGGTCACGCAGGGCCATGACCCATGGCCTAAACCCAGGCGCCTAGATTTCAAGCCTGGACCCATCCCTCGAGCTAAATTTTGGTGGTCAGGACCTTGGTTGTTTAGTGTCGGGCTGATCTCAAGGGCCAAACTGTTTAGTCTAGTCCTATCCTTCCCTAAGGACCAACCTCAAAAGAAAGTAAGGAAAACAAAAAATCACACTCTATGCATTCGCCAAAGTAACATCATAAGTTCAAATAGAGACCGGTGTTCAAAAAATCGACTCAGTCAAAGTATTCGGGACTTGGTCGAGGCGATTTAATTAGGCGAGTCCGAGTAACTCATCCAAGTCCAGCTCTTTTTCTTTAAAAAAATAGAAAAAAATACATTGTTATATATATATATATATATATATATATATTATTAGTGCCATCTTAATATAGAACGTTGTAAGCGGGCGTGTTGGTTTTTGTGATAATATATTTAAAGTTTAAACAATTATGTACAACCTACTCGGCTAAAACTAGCCTCGTCCATAGGGCGAGGCCAAGTTACTCGGCTGAGTCTGAGTTGCCTCGGCCGAGTTTTGAAACCATGATAGAGACCATCGAATTGTTGGCAATAGATCTAACAATTCGATCAAAGTGTTTGTAATGCTCAAAATAAAATTATTAATTACATGGTGATTTTAAGTATATTCCAAAATTATAATTAAAAACAATTATAAGTAGGTCATCAGCCCAATAGAGTAAATTTTACTGTGTGACTCCATATGTGACCATACGATACTTGATAATGACAAGAAAAATCTGCCAAAGATGAAGTATAAATCAAAACCGTAACACGTCGACCAGAAGAGAAGTGCACTAAGAAGGAGCTTAAACTACCAAAAAATAAAAGTTTAAATATTTTAACCTTAAAAGTCCAGCACTTCATACAAGGTAAAGTGAGAATGAATTGCCAAAGTGAGAGCATATTTATTTATTTTTTATTTTTTATTTTTTTTGGGGTAGTCCAGTGGGGAAAGAATCCCCTTTCTCCACGAGCAATTTAGTGTTGAGAGTAAGAGATGTGAGAAGAGAGAAGAGAGAGGGACGCATTGTGGAGTGGGGAAAAGAGACTTGATAATAAATGAGAGGAATACTTAAATGTTACTTATAATATACAATAGATTCAGAAATCGGTGAAAATCAGAAAGACAAGAGCATCAAGTATTTAATAACTAATAATGAGAGATAAATGTTTTCTAGTAAATTTAAAATTTTTATAGTGAGCATGGTATTATTAGATAGTTGACAGCTCCCAAAAAACAGGTTATTGAGATGATGAATCGTACTATTATTGAGCGTACTAGATTTATATTGATTACCACTGGGTTCAAGCACTTTTTTTTAGTTAGAAGCATTTCAAATAGTAGGTTCCTAACTATCGGGTTTACCATTGTTGCTATTAACTACAAGACGTCTAAAAGGATTGGACAGGTAAATCAATTGATTATTCTTTTTTTTGTGTATTACATTATTCCAAAGCAGAAAAGAGCTAAGTCGGATACAAAATCTAAAAAGTACATTTTTTCTTGGATATATGCATGATATAAAAGGGGTACAAATTGCAAGATCCTGCTCACCACAATTCTCTTTGTGTTTTACTCATTTTATTTTCTACATTAATTTTCCTTTCCTTTATTTTTGCCCAAACCTTGATTCTTTCCGTATGTACGTCATAGACTTTATATTCTTTCTTTTACTATTTTATTAGAAGGGTATAAATAACTAATGACAATTATTTTAGCAAAAATATAGTTTACCAAATGGCATGGCTCATTGTTGTGCACCATATTGGCGGCCACTTAACCTCCCTGACGCCGGTGAATAAAGAAAATTGGGGGCATAACTCTGTCACCAAAGACCATGCAAATACATTCTAAATTACATGACTATACTGAAGTATTGGAGTTTGCAGCAAGCACCCAATGAACACTCAGATATTTAAAAAGCGAACTCCTAATCTACTTGAAAAATCGGGTAGGGCATGTCTTCCCAACTAAATTACAAAAAAAAAAAACCAAAATTGTATGTCTATTTCAGAAACCAGGCTAACTTGGCAAACAATGGTACATGTAGTGGGAATAATTTAAGGGAAAAAGTTTATACAAGGGGTCAATGTTGTATTATTAAGATAAGGTGCACCTCAAAATTTTATTGGAAAAGATGGTTTTGATGCAAAAAAAAGCCCCATATAAATCTATATTTATGAAAACTATTTGTACTTTATTCATTATAATTTGCTGAAAATCACATATTTTTTACGAAAATGCCCAAAATAGCTGAAAAATATCTAGAAATTTAATTAAGTAATATTATGCATAGTATAGGAGTTGTACCAAATATCTAACAAGATAACATTATTTAAAGAATACCAATTTTAGATGAGATAGTCAATTTCATTGTCATCTAAGCGGGTAGGGTTGGCAATGGACCCGGACCCGACCCATATCCTCCAGATATACCCGACATGGGTCCAAGTATGGATCTAAGTTTTGGACCCACGGGTAGGATTCGGGTCCAATAAAAGATAACCAAATAGTTCCTAGTCATGGTACGGGTCCTCCTATACCCGACCCGACTAGTACCCATACCTGACCCAACTGGTACCCATACCCGAATTTTCAGTTTATCCAAAGGCAAAAGCCTCAACCCTAAAATCGTTTCAATACTTTTTGTCTTCCCGTAGTTCTCCAAATAGCCAAACCCCATCACCATCATTCCTCTCTACAATTCTCCCTCTCTTAGTTTCTTGGAGACATAGTTCTCCATCTGGATCTCGAATGTCTTTCTCTCTCTCTCTCTCTCACTCTCTCTCTCTCTCTCTAATCATCCACCCTTTAAAAATCAGTTATCTGTTGTTCACCATTATAGACTATAAAAAATAAAGCTCATAGTGAGGGTGTAATGGACCCAACCAGATCCAGGACCTGATGGGAGTGACCCGGGACTCAACGAGTACAGGTATGGGTCTAACTTTTAGACCCGATAGATTGGGTTTGGGTCCCATACCCGACCCATCGCCACCCCGATAAGCAGGCCTGAGAGTGTGTATGGAGCTAGAGAATACAAGAGAGAGAGAGGGGGGGCGGTGGGGAAAACA